CCCCAAAACCCCAAAACCCCAAAACCCCAAAACCCCAAAACCCCTCCATTCCAAACTCTACTGAATTATTTAAACTTGCTTATCTCTTGCGTGAATATGCACTTCTGATCATACTCTTCATGTTCAACTTCTGGGTTCTCTTTTTTATTATCTTAGGCGGATTCACAGTCTCAAGGGGATTATCCCCTTGTGGCAAATTTTGGATGGTTTTTAAATGCTTGGTGGTCTATAGGGTCAGGAAGAGACTACCATAGGCTTGCTAGGTTCTCTAGGAACGGAGGTTATAGGGTTTTGGGTGGAAGAGCCATCGCGAATTAAGCTTTTTGTACCCATAGGGTGCAGAACTAGCTTTTTCTTAGTACTTCCTAAGGGCTTTGTCACTACAGTGTTTTTCTCACTAGGCTTTTGGGTTGATCTAAAGGTAAGAAAGAGGATACTTTTTCTGCATCTTCTTTCTCATTAAAGGCTTTCTTTTCTGGACCTGGTAATCTGGAAGGGAAGGACTAGTTTTGAGGATTTGCTCAGCTCTAACTCCTATTCTATTGTTTTGGGTCTTCTTTATATCAATTGATTTAGACCTTTTCTTTTTCTTATTTTTATGTGAACTATTCTCTTTTGTGTATCCCTGCTCAATTTGGTTTATAGTTTCGAAGAGGTCAACTCCAAGTTCATCAGCAGATTCTGAGCTATTTTTAGAGTCATATCTGGAAACAACCTTTTTAATGCTACTAAGTTGGGATTCCATCATTGAGAATTTAACTTTAGAGTCTCCAAAAATCTCTCCTGTTCCAAGAGTTTTCTGGGAGACTATAGGGAGTTGAAACTGCCCATCAGAATCATCAAATTTTATCAACTTATTGGCTTCATGATCAAGGTCTTTGTTGTAAGACATTGCTGATTTAAACATCTTCTGTTTATTTTCTTCTGCTTTGTAGTTCGGATAAAGACTCAATTCGGATCTATTACTGCTTACAGAAGGTATTATGCCAGATCTGGAGATATCCTTCCACACTAGATTAGTCATGATGGCAATATCATGGTTTTTGACAAAGTCTGTTTGTACTTTAGCGTTCTTTCGATTTCTCAGAGCTTCTAACATTGATTTACTTGTCTTGATAATAAGTTCATACTGAGCGAATCTGTTGCTCAGCACAGTATGTTTATTCTTCAGATGGTAATGCTCCATATAGACAGCTACATACTTTTGGTAGTACTCTTCAAGTCCCATGCTCTTTAACTCAAGATTCTTATTTTAAGAACTCTATCATGTCACTATTGTCTTTGACTTTGATGTCAAGATGAAGATTTTCAGATTTAATATTCTCAAGATCAAGTTTGAGCTTTCCCACTTCTTTCTTTAGATTAGTGATTTTCTCAGTGTCCAATATCTTGTCATTCGTCAGGAGGATGACTTGTTCTGAGATCTGCCTAATTTCCTCCCTTTGGTTAGTACACATCACCTTGTATTCATAAGCTTGAGACCTAATATCTTCATAGGTCATGTAGACCCTATCCTTCTCTTTATCTCCGTAGTTCCTAAGATGAGTGATTTCGTCATTTAGGGCTTGAATCTGTGCATTAGTGACTTCCTCAACCTTCTCTTTATATTGAGTTAAATGAGTAATTGTCCTTTCTTGGTTTTGACATTTCGTTTTGATTCTTTTCATTTTAGAGGTTAATTCCGTCAGGTCAGTGCTTTGGGTTTCTAAAATTATGTTCAAAATTATTTTTATTTAAAACTATTTCGAAAATTATTCATGATAACTTACTGATAGTGGACTTCAAGCTTGAACTAGACATCTCCAAGCTTTCTATCTTATGCATTAAGTCAGAAATCTTCACTTGGCTCTGACTATTTTCTGCTTGTAGTGTTATCATGTACTCTTGTTTTCCATCTAATTTTGAATGCAGGAGTTTAATCTGAATACCCTGATCCTCTATGATTGTATTCAAGGAAGCGACTTGGTCAGAGTGCTGCTTTACTTGACTCTGCAACGACTTTGAAGAGTTCTCTAATTTCCTTATTAACTTTTGTTGAGACTTTTCAAAAGATGAAATTAGTGAGGTAAGTTTATCTATTTCTCGATTCGCGACAGAAAGCTGGGACTCTTTGTCAACTACTTTGTTATAAAGCTCTAGTTCGAAGATCTTGAGTTGTTCCGAGTGATCTTTGATTTCTAATCTATCTTTTTCCAATAACTCAAGTTTTTCCTCAAGATTGGTTTTCTCTTCCTTCATGTTTTCAAGCTGAGATTTGGCTAGTTTCAATTCTTCATGTAGTAACTCATTACTCTTGGTCATTGTAGTTATCTTCTCCTTATTATCTTCAATGATTTGGTATAATTTGTCTATTCTTTCTTCTTGCTCTTTCTTAATGATCTCATCTTGACTGGCTTTGATTTTAAAATTAGTATTTTCTCTCTCAAGTACCTTGATACTTTGAAGTTTTGTCTCAATATTAGCATTAAGTTCTTGCATTTCTTTACTAACGTTCATGTAATCGAGTTCTAACTTCCTCCGTTGCTATAAATGAGAGAGGTGATGTACATCCATAACTTTTCGAGAATGAGCCTCTGCAGTCTCAAGTTTCATGTTGGCTTCCCGTTCAGCTATATTTGCATTCTTGGCAATGAGAGTGAGCTCATCTAATTCTTCTAACTTTTTGGTATAATTTTCAGTGATTTGTTCAATGTTTGCTCTATAATAGAGGTAATAGATTACTCTTCAATTTGAACTTCTAACGATTTGATTTTATTCTCAAGGGCGGTGTTAAGTTTTTCCTTTATTGCAACAAATCTGCCTTTACTTTGATCAGCTCTTTCTCAAGATCAACTATTTTGACTGATGTAACCTGGCTGACTTTCTCTTGCTCTTCAAGTTCTGCAAGAGCTCTTTGGTATTGGTTCTTAAGATTACTGTGCAAAGAATGGAGATCATTTAATTTGTTCTCAAATTTGAGCCTGATAGAGACTTCTTCTTCATGAATTTTCATTTTTTCCTCAAAATCTTTCTCCAAATCTTTGAAGGATTCCTTCTCAGACTTGAGGTCTTGTGCAAGTTTAGTGTGTGATTTTATAAGTTCTTCGTATCTTGTTTTGATCTATGGTTTATGTCACACATAGCATACCTCTCTGGCAAAGGTTTGGCTCTCCATATGCTTTATTTCAAACTCTTCTCTATAGGCATGATTAGATGTCTAAACTAGCCTTAAAGATGCTTTGGGATTTCAGAATAATAAAAATTATACGTCTTCACCAAAATTTGTTAATATTTATCTCATAATTTTATTTGTGTTGGTAGAAAAGCAATGAAATTATTAAAATAGATTGATTTGTGTAATTACTTCATTTTCTGCTCATTTTCAAGATATTCCTGAGTCACTTGACCGATAAGAGTTGTGTAATCTGACTTTCAGCAGAATTCAAGTAAGATTGAGTATACCTTCCATATTGAGCGCTGGATTAGGAAGTGATTACTGGACTTCTTTGTAATATTTTTAACTAGCTCATTGAATCCAATGGAATAGACAAATAAGCCTTTGTATAACCTCTCAACTGAGTGCTTCCCAAGGCCATGTTTTGATAAACTATTGAGTAATTTATGATGAATATACCTGACTCTGTCGATACTGTGTCTAGTAAGAGCTTCTTTATAAGTCGGATTTGAAATAATTCCTAAAATATTAATAAATGCCAATCTATTAGAGCTTACCAGGGATGTCTAAATATTTAGCATCCTCAAGTGTATTTGAAATCCATCTTTCGACTATTTTCGGGTTGAGTTTCTCATTCATGAGATTATCTTCTCGAGTAGTCTCTTCTGAGACGATTGATGATTTTCTCTAATTTTTATTTCCAATCAAATACCTTGTTCTGAGAACCTGCTCTAACAGAAGGTGAGAGGATAAGCCTCAGGTTTTCACTTTTATTTCCTTCTTTTCTGCATAACTCTTCTTGGCATAAACGCTTGAGGGCTATAGAAGGTTCCTAAACCCTTTACCTGTTGAATTCAGCTATGGATGGCTGAGTAGAATTCAGATTTGTAATAGTTCTCTTCTGGTTTCCCTTCAGAGACCGATATCTCATCCCTTCAGAAGCAAGGTTCCTTCTTGCAATAGAGCTGCTCCTGTTCGACCTCTTGACACTGAACTTGTTACTAAAAATTAGAGTGTGGAGCGAGTTTGGGGAGAAGTGCCGTTGGGCATCCTGAGGCCTTTCTGCAGAGAAAGGTCTGGTATCATCGACAACATCTATTATACTTTTGTTCATATTTAAATTATTTTAAACTTACAGTGAAACACTGGGGTTTTGGGGTTTTGGGGTTTTGGGGTTTTGGGG